AACTTCCAGTCTTCTGTTTCTTGCCCAGAGCCATACTACCTCCCACATTGCACATGTTGTAAACTTTATGTGGCCCATCTGTTAAGGAGTTTGTTTTCCAAATTTGCAGGGGCTTGGCACTTCTGTACTGAGTACCAGAACTAAATGTGACACCGATTTTTACCTTTTTAATAGTTTTAAATTGCATGGGGCTGGTATTAAAAAGGGTCAGGGAAACAGAAGAAATACAGAAGCAGTAAGGCAACAGTTAAACATCATAGCTTGGGCAAACCCGTACTTAACATCCGCCATGATGACAGCAGTAGCAGTGCTAGGGATATATTGAGTATTCAGGTTCAGTTGTGGGCTGAATGTGGGCACAGCTTGGCATTTGAAATTAGGCAGATTCAGACTATGATGTTTTCTCACAGTTAATGCAGAGACCATAGATAATAATTATGTTGCTGAGCCTACAGTGAATTTTTACGACTGATCCTCTATTAAACTGGCAAAATAAGAGGATAATGTCTCCAGCACTAACAAGTTGGCAGGGAAGTAGCTGGCAACCCCTCCCACTAATGTTCCATCTGTGCGAACCTTCAGTATGATCCAGGATATTGTTTCCCCACACAGGTTGTGCCTGCAGTGTAATCAAGACAGAGAGACCAAGCATAGATATCTTTATTGTTTTTGAAAATGACTGTCATTGGAGGGTGAGCAGAGCCTGGGATTGAGTGCTAATGCTGTTATGTCCTTCTAAGAAGTATCCATGCAGTGATGTCGACAGGAAAATAACCGTTTCTAAGCACTGGCTTGTTGTCCAAGTGACATAAAAGTCACAGAACAAGAAGAACAGTTTCTTTCATTTTAGAAAAGCCTTTTGTTTCTTTTCCTGGAAACTTGGAAAATTGTTTTTGTTTAAAAATATCTTTTCTGTTGATTGCGAACACAGTGCATGTTACTTTCCCAGCCTTGACGCTCCTCCAGCATCCCCAGGCTCTGGATCAGATTTTGCTCTAAAAGCTCAGGGGAGAAGAAAGAAAGGCTTGTGAATGCGAAGAGGGTGCACAAACCAGCTGAGGCAAATCCTGACTCCAATCCCTGAAACGATGTCTGTCATTGTACACTTCTCATGCCACCCAAGAAGTGTCCCCTGATGTTTCAGGCAGCTGTCACATCTGCCTCCTCTGAGCTCCTAAATATTTGTTTGATATTTAAAATGTACTGCCTTGTGTTGGAATTATTGTACTTCATGGCTTATTTGTTTCTCCTTTCATATAGTTCACCGTGCCTGAAATAGGGCCTCATTGGACATACTTTTGTATCGTGACTAAATAAGCAAATTCGAAGCCATCCCTGTTGAAGACCATGCACAGGGAAGCACCCTCAGGTTACTCACTAACGTAGGGAGGCACATTGCCATTGCTCTCCTCACCTCAGTGGTGAACTCTCTATGGAATAACAGGTAATAATAACTAATATGCTATTATTTTAAAATGCCAGTGTGCTTTTATGTGCTGGTTCTCGGCACTTTATATGAGTAATACATTTAATTCTCACCATAGGAAGTAACTATTGTTGTCATCTCCATTTTACAGATGAGAAGACAAAGGTACAAAAGAGTTTACATTTTTTTAAGATCTTACAACTAGTAGGTGGTGGTGTTAGCTAGCGTGTGATCTGTCTTCAAAACTCAAATTCTTAAGCACTCCATACACTGCCTCTGGATGGGAGTCCTAAACGTCTACGAGGGACATGAATCCTGTTATATCATTTTTTCAGTATCTCTAAGATCTTATACAAGACAGAAATACAGAGGAGGCAAAGGAGGTTTTAATTATCTGCTTTTTCATGTGTTTTCCTTCATGGAATTCACTTTGAATACATTTTAGGGGTTTGAAGAAGCTCAGGAAATTATTTCTTTCTATCTTCTCTTCAATTCATACGCTTAACTCCTACCCAACATTTGTTCACTCCCTTCCTCCTCCTCTAAACAAAGCAGAAGCGAAGAAAAATATTAATGCTACAAAAAAAACATTTGCAATGATCTATGCAACCCTTTCTCTGGAAGTTTCCATCATTATCAGATTCACCTAACAATTCCTATTCATACAAACGTGGTCTCAATGGAGTTTTTCTTTACCTGTAGGCAGCTTAGTTGCCTCCCACTGTCCTTTGTTCATAGCCACATCAGAGTGACAGTCTTTTTAGAAGACTGGTGTTTATGCAGTATTCCTAGTTCTGTACATTACAGTGGGCACTTAAAGTTTACGTTTTAAATGAATTAGTGAATCCAATACAAAGCCCTCATTTTACAGAGAAGGAAACTGCCGTGAAATTGGAAATGTAAAGTGGCTGATCACAGTCACATATCTAGTCAGTAGAAAAGCTGACCTCAAGTCAGCTACATTTTCCATTGCGAGACCTAGGTTGTCCTTCACAGCCTAAATCAAACCTGAGTTTCTTCATGCCTGAAAACCATAGCCCAGCAATAATAGCTATCTTCTTTATATCTTATAATGCTTATAATCTGTAGCACTCATTTAGTTCTGGGTGCATATGTATATATTTTACTTTTCTCTACCTAGATTATAATTATTTTAAAGTTAGAATTGTGCCCTATCTTTTCTTTTCCATTCATAATGCTTTGGTTTCTTGAGTGTTTGAGCTTCTAAAATTAGGAGTTGATCATCTCATTCACTTTTTCCACTTCTATCATCACCTCTAACTATAGCCCCAAGTACATCCTCAAGTGCCAGTCTTGTTTCCAGCTGTTTGAATAGGCCCATGTCTCCATGTCTCCCTTGGAACCTGAAAAATACTCTGGACCACTAGCAACTGTCACAAAACTAAAATAAGGCCATTCTGAGATTGAGTAAAGTGGACTTATATTTTTTCCCTTAGAAGATCTCCGTGGAACTGCAGGGAATAATTATCATGCATGAAGACTGTTTTTTTTTTTTTTTTTTTTTGGTGTGCAAGTTACAAAGACTCATCACAGAGATTATCTTGAGTGATGGTGTGTGGAAGTGCAAGCAGGCCTCAGAAGGCCTGGAGACAGATCAAAAATCCAGTAGCTACTCTTTCTATCATTTTCTCTCTCTCTCTCTCTCTCTCTCTCTCTCTGTCTCAGTTACTCTCTCTCAACCTACCTCTACCTTTCTCTCTTAAACTCTCTCTCTGTCAAGGAACACATGGTCTGTCTTTCTTCTATATGGCTGCTTTATCATTCTCTCTCTCCATACTTGTTGTCTCTGCCTCTCTATGTACATACAGGACAGCCATTGCCTTATAACTTCCAAGTATACTCATATAAGTCACGGATGTCTCTAAATCCCAATTCCAAGATCCTGAAAGAGCCAATATGATTGCACCAACTTGGTTCAGGTGTCCTATCCACTGTCCACTCTGTTATGGCCAGGAGTCATGGTCACTGAGAATAGATGAGTTTCTACCATTTGACATGGCCTCTGCTAGACACCATGGAGAAACACACAAGTGATAAAAGTGAAAATGCTACCTTCAGAAATTTAATAATAGGTTACACAGTAAGATCTAGAATAATATATTTTTAATAGTTTGTATTATCTTTCCCACTATGACAGAAGACAGGAAGGGCCATCATTATTTGGTCAGAAAAATGGAAGAAAGACCTCTTCTTCAATATTTCACCATTATACATACCTCAAAATTTCTGTTGAAGCCCTCTGCTTTCTTATTCAAGCTAACCCCTTCACTGAGGATGGAGAAAATAGGGGAAAGATGTATAACTTCTTTAAGGTCCTTGTAATGTTAGGAATGTAGTATCCATTTACTAGGGCCTACCATGATTGCTGGACCCGTTAGCATGCGCCAACATTCCAAACAACCAACTAAATGAAGGGAGTAAGAAAGAAACATTCCCCTTTTTTGAATAGCACTTACCAGAGGCGTCACTCAATATTTCTTGTTTATGTAATTGGTCAGAACTATTCATATGGCCCATAAAGATGCAGAATAGGTGGATATATGTAATTCTTTTTCTGGGCAACCTTGTACTCATCTAAGAATCAGGAATCCATTTGCTTATAAAAGAGAAGAGCAGAATGGGTCTATTATAGGTCAGTAACCTCTACCACAACCTTCAGTTGCTGTCCTCAATCTATTTCTCTTGTCCATAGTTTTTGATCCTGGTGACAATCTTTCCTGCCTCTTTTAAATCTTATCTTCCTTTGAATATTGTGATACTGAACTATGCCAATACTTTTTACTATCTGGTTACTTTATAACTTTACTTTCCTTGATTTCTCAATTTCCTCCTGCTCTCTAAGGATGGGTGTCCCAAAGACGACTCTGTCATTTCCTCTTTGCGTCTGCTTTCATCCACTCCCACCATTTAAACCATCAGCATTATTTTCTAGCTTGCTCTCTCTCTGTCTCTCTCTCTCTCTTCCCCACCCCAACTTCCAGGAAGCTATTTTAGATCACTCGTTGGTCATTTTTAATTAAAAGCCCAACATCTCCCAAAACTCTATTGAAGTATCAGAAGTACATTTATATTCAAAATCTAATGCAGAGAACTTTCAACAGGTAAACTTGCTCTGATTCCCTATATCAGATAAGTTTGCTTATTCCATACCTACATCACACCCTGCAGTTCTTGGGTCCTACAATAATTATTAAAGTTAACTACTCGAACAAAGATTTGTTCCATGTCTCTATTTCCTAGTATACTAGGTCTTGAGAACAATAAAAATATGTCTCTTGTTACAGCACTGCATCTCCAATGACTTGCACAGTGCTTTGCACAAAGTAATCATGAAGAATAGCAAATGGACAAGCAAAGGAATGAATAAATATATCATTTGGTTGCCTTTCCGGGGTTCTCATAGGGTGAAATTACCTTGGTCCTCAATGTATTATCTTAGTTTTTAAGCAGACTAGGAATGAGTTTGTGCTCATTGTTGGAATCAACTGCCACATTCTTAAGATCAATGTCTACCAAATAATTTTCCAACTAACAGGTGCCACTCACCTGTTAGTCATCAATATTATCTGCTCCTGACATGCAACCATCAACATTGTCACGGCTTGATAATCCAGGATCACCAGAAGACACAAACACCAGAGTGTGCAGAGTGACAGACACAAACACCAGAGTGTGCAGAAGAGTTGTATCAGCCAGTCTAGTGTTGAAAAACCTACATGAAAAGTCAAATTATATTTAGAAAGTTCATTGGAGATCAGAGAATCAGAATAAAATGGTGTAGTCAGGTGATTTAAAATTTAGTGTAGTTGGGCCCAGATATGCTGACATTTCTATGTTCATAATAAGGATAATTTTGATCACAGGGGCAAAACACTTGAAATATGTGACTTATTCTTACTCACTCTTCCACAGTTTTTAAGAATATAATAGATCTGAATTTAAATTCCAGCTCTATGTGACCTTGAACAAGCTTCTTTTCTTCTCAGTCTTCTGTTTCCTCCTGTGAAAAAAAAACAAAAAACAAAAAATCAATACCTGTTGTAAGGATTAATAAGATAATTATATAAAATATTTAGCATAGTTCCTGGCATTTAGTGAGTCCTCAATCAATAAAGGATATTATTTCCACCCTCTAGGCTTCCATAGATAATCAATGTTTTTTAATTAACAGATTTATTTTTGTTATTTAAATTTTTTTGTCCTTCCAACTTTTATTTTAGTTTCAGGGCGTACATATACAGGTTTGTTACATGGTTAAATTGCACAACCCAGGGTTTTGGGTTACAGATTATTTCACCACCAAGGTAATAACCATAGTACCTGATATGTAGTTTTTTGATCTCTATCATCCTCCCACCCTCTACTTTCCCAGAGTCTACTGTTCTCTTCTTTGTGTTCATGTGTGCTCAATATTTAGCTCCCACTTATAAGTGAGAACAAACAGTAGTTGGTTTTCTGTTCCTATAATAATGTGCTTAGGACAATGACCTCTGGCTCCAAGCATGTTGCTGCAAGGGACGTGATCTTGTTCCTTTTTACGGCTTTTTAGTATTTCATCACGTATGTATACCACATTTTCTTTATCCAGTTAGATATGCCAAGTTATATCCGAGTCCTATGGGTCAGGAAACCCATTTTTATACCTTTATCATGATTCATTGTGTGTTGATTTAATAGTTTAACTCTCAGAGGTTCTTCTTATCCAAAGCTCAGATGTCTCCAGTAATCATCAGCCTATTGTTTAAAAAAGCCACATTAATAATACAGAAATTTCCCCCTTCTCTATAGTTTTTCTGTTTACAGTTTCATTATTCCATGGTCAACTGTGGTACAAAAATATTAAATAGAAAATTCCAGAAATAAGTAACTCACAATTCTTAAATTGCTTGTCATTCTGAGTAGCGTGATGAAATCTTGTGCTAAACCATTCCATTCCACCCAGGATGTGAATCATCCTTTGCCCAGGATATCCATGCTGTCTGTGCCACTCACCTGTTAGTCATCAATATTATCTGCTCCTGACATGCAACCATCAACATTGTCATGGCTTGATAATCCAGGATCACCAGAAGCAGATGATCCTCTTTCTGATGTATGGTCAGAAGGTCAATACTGTAGTAGCCTAATGCTGCATTACAGTGCCTATGTCATTCACTTCACTTCATATCATCATGGAGACATTTCATCATTTCACATTACTGCAAGAAGAAGGATGAGTACAGTCCAATAAGGTATTTTGAGAGAGAGATATTCATACTCACATAACTTTTATTATAGTATATTGTTATAATTCTATGATACGATCAACTGATAATCTCTTACTATGCCTAATCTCTTACTGTGCCTTATTATGCCTAATGTGTAAACTAAACTTTATAATAGGTATGTATGTATAGGAAAAAATATAGTATATATATGGTTTGGTATTATCCATGGTTTCAGGCATCCACTGGAAGTCCTGGAACCTACCCTCCATGGATAAGGAGGGACTACTGTAATAATAATAATAATAATAATAATAATAATAATAATAATAATTTACATTTCCTGATTCCTGTCTCCATTCACTAATGAAAGAGCTTCAGCTCCCAAAAGAGCTCCTCTCCCACACACAAAAATATTACTGAGAGTCCCCAGTGTGAGTGAGTTTCATGTGGGTTTAATGAATATTCCAATTGTAGTGAAGGGTTTCCCTCCCTTTCCTCCTTATTCTTGCTTTCTTTCATTGATGGGTTTTGCTTGCCTTCTTTCTATTAAAGAACAACTTAGTCCTAGCAGCAAAACCAAAGAAGAGACTCCATCCTGTCCTCTATCTATTCTCTCCAAGTGCATTTTCACCAGTCTTTCCTTCGCTCTTCAGCCAAAACCCCCAAAGCCCACATACTCATGAACACATACCCATGGACCTCTGGTGGGCAGAGAATAGATCTCCTTGGCTACAAAATTTCAATCCCTGCTTAGATTCATCCGGGGCATCCTGCTGACTTATTTATATTATTTTTAAGTTGTCAGGTCACACAGCACTGCAGTTTCTGTCTAGCTATAATTTCTTTCAAATAACTTCTCTTTCTGCAGTCCATAGTTCTGGTAACAGTACCAGGCTAAAAAAATTCTCACAGTAGTTGCATGTTCCCCATTTCCTTCATTTCTCACAATTAATATTAATTTCTGCAGATTTTACCTCCATAATCTCCCTTATTTCTACTTACATCTTTCTCAGTTTTCACAGCTGCTAACCAAGGTGAGTCATTAACTACTCTAGCCTGTATTGCTAAGTTCTCTTAATTTGTCCCTTTACCTCCTATCCCCTTCCCTTTCATCTATTCAACAGTGTTCTGGTCTACAAAATTTGAACACTGTATGAAATCTTGCAGCTCTAAAAGCCACTAAATCCATGAAAATCAAGTTGAACTAACCAGATATTTTTGCACCAATTTATATCACTGTTTCCTCCCATTTTAGGTAAATCTGATGAACTGGGTCATTTTTTTCCAGTTCAGACTGAAAACAAATTGTTAAAAGCCAAGCTATACTCTCCTTTGAAAACCAAAAGTAAATGTCCTAGATTTCAAATGTAGAAGTTGCAAAGAAGTACACCAATTGAAGGGGTTGTTACAGGACTACTTTTATCCTAACTAGAAAAAAAGTTAAGTCTGAGAAATATCTGGAATTATCCATAGGCAATTATGAGCAGCTGCTGTAGTGTAGGAGCAAGAGTAATGTTCATGCCATCCTTCCTGAAGCAATAAACTCCATAAGAACAGGTTGGTGTTTGCCTTGTATCCCCTGCACATAGCATCTAGGACCTGATACATAGTTGATACCAGATAATTATTTATTGAAAGTATAAATCAATGGATATCTACCCAAAGTGCAATTCCAATGCTCTATATAATTTATAATTTCGTGAAATAAGGAGCGGTATTTTGCGTATCGTTCTAACCCTGCAGGGTCTGGACAGTTCTCTGCACAGATGAGGCATTTGAACAGATTTAAATGATTGATTTTTCACAAATATATAGATGCACTCATATATATCACCAAAGGAAGTAATACTCTCAGTACAGCAATGCACAATAGAATCTGAAAATGGAAGAAGCCATAAAGGATGGTGGAAAACCTACAAGGTAAGGGCTTCTCAAATTCATTCCCAACCTGGCCAGAAACCCTTCAAATGTATGAGATCCCTCAGGAGGAAGCAAAGCAATCTCTCTCCAAAGAGATTCCTGTAAAAAAAGGAAGTAGCAACACCTCCTTCACAGCTTTATGCACACTGGCTTCAAACTCCAATATTACTTTGGAACAAAGAAAAGTAGCTTTCCCTTCTCTCAAAGAGAATAGAAATATTGCTAATGAAAGCATATTTGCCAGACTTGCAGTCAGATGATAAAGAACTCACTAGCTGAGTACTTGGAAAAGTTCAGACACATTTCAGAACCCAAATGCCACATCTGTCAAAGGGGCTGATGCTACCAGCCCTGTCTTCCAGACACCATTTTTCGGGAAATAAAATATCACATACATTAAAATGCTTTCAAAACATGAAATGAAGTAGATGTTAGGTGTCATTATTTGCTGCTGATGTAGGTGACCCCGCAGCAAACTATAACAATACCTGAATATCAGTAGTCACCTGAATGCACATTGCTAAGGCGTGGCTGCTCGATATGATTGATTGCAAAGAGTGCCATAATAATAAAATTCCCTAAATTTTCATTTTGGGGTACAGTCCATTTCCCTGATTCCAGGTGCAAGTTCAAAAGTATCTCAAGGGAGCCAAAAGGTAATTAAAACTCTTTTAATGAAGAAAAAAAATCAAGATGGACTATGGGTATTGGAGATATAGGAGGGAAAAAATGGCAAGAAAAATGAGTTGTACATCCAGAACACTGGATAGTTCCAATTATATTAAATTGAACAAGGAATATGCCACTTTGGTTTTATTACTTAAAAAACAACAAAAAACTTGAAGTCCCTCTTCCAAGATTAAGCTCTCAGTTCAGTCACTTTCTTTCATTCATCATTTTTCTTTATCTCTGGTGGTGTTACCTATTCCTCTGTCTTTTCATGTTTGGTGATTTCACAATTCCACATATGGTTGTTTTATCATCTTCTGTTACTTGCTTAAAAACAAACAAATCAGAAAGCCCCCTTTCCTTCATGCTGCCTTCTCTTATCTTTGCATCAATTTTTCTATTTTCTTCTATTATCAATAATGTTTAATTTCCACTACTTTTGATGTTCACTTTTCTTCGTCTAATTTACACGACTGTTCTGGTGTTTCTGCCTTATATTGATGTCTCTTCTGTCATTTAACCCTTCTCTTTCCCAATCCTACCATTCTGTCCTCCTTTTTAATTATAATTTTTAAAGTATGTGAGGGAGGCCTTAAAATGTTGCGGGAAGGGTTTGCTACCAGGATATTTGGAGTGAGGAAGAAGCCACAACCAAAGTCACTTATTCTAATTAGTGTGTATCTGTGAGTGTGTGGGGGCCGATGGTTGACTCAAATCACTAGGTGGCAGTAGTTCAGATCTGACTCTTCAGATAGCTGTGTCTTTCTACCTGCTTCCTTAATGTTTATGTCCTATATACCAATTTTTATTCAAAAGCTCACGTGGTCCTCTGCAGCATCTACATTTGAAATCTAGGACATGTCACATCAGTTCTCAAAAATAACATAACTTAACACTTAAGGATTTATGACTGCTGATTGCAGCCGAAACTGGGGAGGAAATGGTTTGGTTGATTTGCTTTTGGCTTTTTTTTTTTTTGGCATTAAAAAAAGTAAATTTAAATAACTTTATATGCAAATGTGCTGATGGAATAAAATTCCACTGCAAACATTCAGTTTATGAAGTAGAATGCATTAATGAGCATTTCATAAAAACAAGCCTTTCAATACTTCCAAACCTTGATTATTAGATAATCTAGGCAATCCATAGTGTGATCTACTGAATATATTGTGCATACCTACTACATTTTGCCTACCCTTCACTTCTTCCTTTTGGGAACTGACCCTGCTATACCATTTACTAGCTGCAAGACTTTCAAAACATTATGAAATTTCACTGTGCCTTAATTTTTCCAACTTTAAATTGGGAATGTTAATGATACATACCTTACGGGGTTACTGTAAACTTTAAGTGAGTTAAATATGTAAAACATTTAGAATGGTATCTGGCATGAATTTCTCCATGGTAGCTACTTGTCCAAGATATCTTCAGATCACCTGTTATGTTTAAGCATTAGATTGGGGGAGGCAGATTAAAAAGGAAATTACCCCAAGTACATTTTAAAGCAAAGATGCAGGTAAGTAACCACGTTATTAACAATGCAATTTGGTAAGTGGGATTTGCAGGAGGGGCACAGAATTCTATAGGATGAAAGATCAACTTATACCATATTTGGGTATGTAAAGGAGAGACGAAAACCCTCTCAGATAAAATTGTATCTCAGTTAAAAATCTAAGGCTGAGAAGGTTTAAATGGATGTATTAGGGGGAAAGAAGTTAGGAAAGGTGTTTCTGGGAGAGGAATGAGCATATATTCTTCCCACAGTCTGACTAAGAAGGTAATACTGGCATTATTCAGAAATTAGGCCATTTTTTCTTAATGCTCACAAGTATCTGAATAATTCATTTTGAGTCTCTATAAAGCAGAAGAAGCAAAGGAAGCATTTCAAAGGCCAAGAAGAAACCATTATAGCCTGGCCTACTGAAGTGTGACTGTGAAGTAATGAAACAGATTTTTAAACAAAATGTGGCATGAATCTTTTCTCTGATAATATGCTGATCTCCTCCCTATGAAATGCTACTAAATGTTTTTGAATAAGGAATGCATTCATGAATTATATTTTCTAGGAGTAGTGATGGGTTTATACTGAGTCATCAATTATTCTCTCCTTGGGAACAATTGTGTGAAGTTGCAAATCAGCTTGGTGTGGGATGGGAGAAGGGCACAATCTGGAGCTAGTCACAAGATGAATCCACTGAACACAAGAGCAATAAAAGCCTGAATTAAGCTTTTTTTTAAAAAAATCCATTTACAATCAACTGACCTGAGGTTTTACTCACTAGAATGAGATCACCAGGGGCTGGCGTTGGAAGGAATGAGTTCTCCACAATCTCTAGTCCCATGAAGATGTAATCTTGATTTCCCAAATGGATAAAACAAACTTCCTACAGTATGCAAAACCTGAGCTGGCCTCTCCTTTTAACAGCAGACAGCAGAAATATAGAACAATGAGTTTAACAGTCCAGAAATTTAGTAGGAAAGCCACTACAAATCCTTGTAAGAAACATATTTCTGCAAGGCAGAGAATTGTGGGCACTTTGTGTGATGAAGTTTATGAGAAGTCCCAGGGGTCTCTGTATGGATGCAAAGTGATTAAATTGACCACTTACTGTAATTGCTTTCTACCATTTAGTTAAGTAGTGATTCAAATGGCAATGGTATGGTTTGGGTGGCAAAAGGGTCATGTGTATTCCTAGCTAGGGGTGAGTCCTTAGTCTTCAATCTTTTTTTTAATGTTCCTCCTTAAATGCCTCTCTCTTTTTGTATTATCCCTATCAAACTCCAGAGTTAGCACTATCAGGTCTCAGAATTCCTACTCTCTACACACACACACACACACACACACACACACACGCCTTCAGAACTCAGATTTAGAAATGAAGTATGAAGTATAATCAGGGACGCTATGTAACTTTTCCCTGACCTAGTGCAATGAAGAGCTTTAATAAGTATGGGCAGTTTGAAATAAACCCGACAGTCATGTTTGCCTGTCAGCAGGTTTATGTACTTCATCTTGAAGGTTAGCTATTGGCAACCACTTGAGAATTTTTCCTATATGAAATTTACCAACCAAAGGACTCACCCTTAAAGACAACCTTGTCTTTCAGTGATCTTAATCCAGTAATTACTCCCACACTTCCTCTTCCTCCTCCTAGTTGAATTATGGAAAACCCTTTCATCTCTTCTGAGTAACTTGTGCCATCTGGTTTTTCAGGGATTTCCTGCAATAGAGAGCAAGGAGCTAGTGAAGCTAGGTTTTTGTTATTGCTGTTGTTTTCCATTTCCCCCAGCAAACCATACAAGGTCATGAGACTCTGGTACAGTCAGCACAGATGTCTTCTCTCACTTCATAAACCTGCTAATAGTATCTCTACTTAAAAAGAAACCTATCACCAACAATCATTATTCTCTTATGATAGCTTTTGCTTCCAATTGGCTGCAATAACCGCATGCCTTTACTATCATGTCCCATAAAGCTCACATAGTATTAAATATTCAACAGTGCCCACCAGCAGCACACCAGTATGTGTATTATCTCATTCATTTTGTCCACCTTGGCCTATTCTATTATTACTATTTCCTTATATCCTTACTATTTAAAATAAATCCAATCAACTATTTCTGGCCTCTTCCCTATTTGGATTTGCTGCCTTGAGATGCATAGATGTGCCTCCCTTTCTTATTAGGTACCACTCAGATTGACTTTTAACTTACTATTTTTTCTGTTTCTCTGGATCTGTTTTTATTTCCCACTCCTACGCTCCTACCTTTGTTGGCTGACTGATGGCTCCATCGGTGACTCCTTTTTCTCTTTTTCATCCCCTAAGCCGGTCACTTAGCATGTAACCATGGTTTAACCGTTTCCCATTCACTGCAGCCCCATACCAAAGCCTATTGAAAAACTTGCCCACTTTGGGGAAAAAAAAAAAAAAAAAACCTGAAAGGAGATTCCAAACATCAAGCATATTAAAAGAAAAAAAAAAAAAGTGAAAATATGTATTGAGTGAGGACCTTATGATATAATCATCCAAGCATCTCTAAAACATTAGGTATTGGAGTTGGGACATGAAAATTCAGAAATAAATGACTGACACTCATGTACATTTATAGTGTGTGTAGATATGGTGTTGTACATTGAATATTAAAGGATAGCCAATCTGCACTGAACATGTTGAAAGAGTTTTTCAGCAGTAGACAATCCACTGTTTACAACTTTACCCTCTGCCTGGGAAAATCAATGTCCATTCTCGAGCAATCTGCTGCCCTGGTTATAGCAGTTCCGGTTCAAAGGAGGTTTGCATTTAGATGGTTGATCTTTCTGTCCCACTCTAGATTTTTGGAATGGTGCATTTTGTGATCATGATTTTTCTCTTGATTCCATTTCCTTATGTCATTTAAGAACATGCGGCTTTTTAGTATGACTCACTGAATAGCAAATATAGCATCTTGGTGAACTGCAGTTTTTCCTAATCAGAACATAAACTTGCTCTGTAATATCAGACTGAGACGGGAAAGAAAACCACAAAGCAAAATGACCATAGAATCACCCTAAGCTCTGAAGGAAAGGTGTCAAGGTACTTATTAAGAATCACACTATACTTCTTTAGTATTCTCAGTATTATCAGGTAGTTATAACATTTCAATTTTTATCCAAGATCCTAAGTGAACTGAGATATAAATTGTCTTTAATCCCGAACCACCAAAGTCTGTTTTAAGTAGAAGCTTTGGGGCAGATACATTCTTCAATAGTCTGTATATATCCTGGTAGAAAGGGGGTACACAAGAAGAATAACCATGGATCAGTCAGGTGTAGTGGCTCACGCCTGTAATCCCAACACTCTGGGAGACCAAGGTGAGTGGATCATTTGAGGTCAGGAGTTCAAGACAAGCCTGGCCAACATGGTGAAACCCTGTCTCTACTAAAAATACGAAAACTAACTGGGCACGGAAGTGCACATCTGTAATGCCAGTTACTCAGGAGGCTGAGGGAAGAGAATTGCTTGAACCCAGAAGATGGAGGTTGCAGTGAGCCGAGATCTTGTCACTGCACTACAGACTGGGTGACAGGGTGAGACTTCATTTCAAAAAAAAAAAAAAAAAAAGGAATAACCAGGGATTAAGTGTAAAGAGGGCTACCAGGAAGTCAGTAGTATCAGGAGAAGACCTAAATTGGGCAGCTATTCTGGGATTAAATTCTAAGAGCCAGTCCAGTCATCTTTCTTTTTGCTCAGGTTCCTCCTCTCTCTCCATCAGCAGGAAGGATTCTAAACCCTGACCAAACAATTCCAGTCAGGATAAGCTCTGCCTTTAGCTATGGGAGAGCAGCTCAGCTTCTCTGGGCCCTTGCCCTATGGCATTTGCCTGGTAGCAGGATTTCCAAGAATAACTACTGTCTGTGGTTTTCTCAAACCCTACTCCCTAGAGAAACCAGGGAGTGTAAACTTTTTTGGTCCCAAGGTGGTTTTAAGCATCAGCAAATGTTTGCCTTGAGCTTTAGCCAGCATCTTATTTTATCCAAATGAACTCTCGAATCTCAATTTATACAAACTAAAATGCCCACCAGACAGATCAGTAAGTTCTTATTCTGTAGCATGAATAGGAACGGAAGTAATTAAGTGGAGGCTATGTGACCTCTAGAAACAATCTTTGGTTGAGTGGCAGGTAGAACAAGTTGGATTTAAAGTACTATTTGGAGTCACAATTGATGTTGATTGCTAGTGAAGGGAGCTCTTCTAACACACTTCTTTGACAAACTCACAGAGAAATCTAAGAAGGAAAACAGAGTGTCTCTAAACATTCATTTGTAATGGAAAACGAAAAACAGAAGAAGGACACTAAGCAAAAAATTCCTAGCTTCATTCAGCCCTGCACACATGAATAATCTTTTCAAGGAAATGGTTTTTGCCTCTTGATTCAAAATTAGAATTACAGATGGAACACTTATGAATGTCTTCATAAACTTGGGTTGTAAATAGGTCATATACCTTTCATTTCTTAACTCACCAACCTAAGCCTTCACCTGTCATATTAACGGGCAGCTCACTAGAAAATCAGCATAGGATAGCAGGAATATGCATAGATGCTGGGGCCAGACTGGCCACCCTATATCTCTCCTTACCAGTTCTATGAAGTGTGGAAGCTTAAAAATATTAACTCCCAAGATCACACAATGACAGTTAAGATGGGATTGTCTAAGCAGTCAGAGCATGGGGTTGGATTGATTCACTTGTGTTTACCTTTCTTTGCCACACGCTACAGTTATGGACACATAGCCTTATAAACTGGACAGAGAAGGCTACTGACAAGTCCTAATAATCTGACAGATAAAGCAAGTCTCTGCAGATACAGGTCCCTAAACAGGCCACCATGAAAACTTCAGGAGAATGACTCCCCTCCCTCCAAGGCTACCTCTTTGATAGAAATGGTATATTCATTTTCTGCGGCTGCTGTAACACATTACCATAAATTTGGTGTTTTAAAACAACAGAAATAGATTCTCTCGCAGTCCTGGAGGCCAGAAGTCTGAAATCAGTTTCACTGGACTGAAGTCAAGGTGTTGGCAGGCCTGTGCTCCTTCCAGGGGCTCTAAGGGAGACACTGTTCCCCACTTTTCCCAGCTTCTGATAGCTGCCAGAGCTTTGGCTTGTGGCTGCTTCACTCCAATATCTGCCTCTTTGTTTACATCACCTTCTCCTTGTGTGTGTGTGTGTGTGTGTGAATTGTACATCTGATCCCCCCTTAGAAGGATACCTGTGATGGCATTTAGCACCCATCTGGATGATTCAGGATAATTTCCCCATCGTAAGATTCTTAATCACATCTTCAAGAAGCCCCTGTTTCCCCGGTATAAATTAACATTCACAGGTTCCAGGGATGAGACATGGATATCTTTCGGGGGTCTATTTTACAGCCTGCCACTAATGGATTATGCACCTTCACCTTGAAGACCTAAATCAACACCCTATCCTCCGCCCCCAGAGATCTGCACACTATCAGGACCCAGCAGATTTTCCTTTTCAGATTTATATAACAAGATTTTTTTTTTTAAATCATACTCCCTTTCCGAAAAAGAACAAAGCTATCACCCAGCATGTTCAGTGTTGTTTTTTGCCTCCAGAAAGCCTCAGACCCTCAAACTCAGAAAGCATAAGATCATTATTCACTTTTCCAGTGATAGACCTGCCTGCCTGTCCTGCCACTTGCAGACACAATATTTACATCTCAGGAAAAATTACATCCACCTGCACCATTCTCTTTGTAAAATGGGAAGATTTTCCAGTGCTTCGAGAATTGTTAATCCCTCTAAGGACATCCAAGGTGACTCTCCAGCTTCTCTCTCACCAAAGCAAAGCAAGTAAAGAGCAATGTTGTCTATGCAATGCTGAAACAAATAAATAAATAAATTTCAATCTGTGCTGTGAAGTGGTGTGAAAACCGGGGAGCTGACTAAGGAGACTCCTCTTCCTGTTCCTCTAAAATATTTTAAGGTAATTGTCCTCTCACTTTACACTGCGATTTACAGAAGTTTAGTCCCCTACCTTCCTGGTCAATATTCTCTTTCCCCTAGGCTTGTCCACTCAATTTATATTATGGTTGGCGGGTGTGGTTGTTAAGGATGTGGACTCAGGCCCCAGAGGCTACGGTTTGAAGCCATGCTCTAGCGTTTTCTTAGCTGTGTAGTCACGGACAAGTAACTAAATCTCTTCTGTGTAGTTTTTTCTAATCTGCAAAATAAAAGTGCCTGCTCATTGCCTACTAGGAAGAATAAATACACAAATAAAGTGCTTAGTATCATGCCTGACACATGTTCTACACATGATAGACATTACTGTTATTGTCCTCTTTCCCTTCCTTGTTCTTTCATGTAGAAAGCTACCATTTATTCACCACCCCACCCCACCCCCACCCCCCGCCATTCAATGAGGGCTTTGACACATAGTTTAGAGGCTTCCTTTCTACTTCAAGGACTAGAACAATGATAGATGATTTTCTCGTCCTCAACGATGATTCATTTCCAAGCTCTAAATCTCTAGGGAGTGAATTTACCTTAAGATTCAAGAGCATCCATTTCCCTCATATGTGCCCTGTCCAAGGCCTTAGGAATTACTCTTGTCATTTGCACTTAAAATTTATATTTTGTTTTTTAATGATGTCCCTCTCCTATTAATATAAGCTTCAGACTTTACAAAAATCTGAACCGGTATCTGCTCTTCGCAG